AGGGATCGAAACTGCATCACCTTTATATAGGGGGAAACCACTTTCAGCAAGGTGTGCCTTAGTCACCGAAAACTTTCATAGCAAAGCAAGGTTCAATTACCTTTTAAAAAGAAACGCACATCTCTGATTCGAACCTTTCGAAGACCACATCGGTGAACTATATTTTCGAACCAGAAACCTAAAGTATTTTCTAAGAAATTCTTAATGAATGCTATGATCCCTTTATTAAATACTCTTTAACTCTCACCCCTGTAGACGTCAACTGGTAATATTAGCGGATTGCTTAAAAGAAAATATTCAGCATTCATTAGGCTAATTTAAATTTATTAAATCTTTCTATTAAAACATTTTTCAGGACAGTTTCGATGTCCAGTAACTGTTGTTGCTCTTTCAAGTATTAATGGTGGTTTCATTACTAACCATTTCTTTGAAGTAGCGTGGAATATGAGCATTTTAATTATATTATTTTCGTTCAAGTTACATGTTCTATCCATTTTAGTTGTTGCTGCTGTTGAAAGTCCTTATAATATTTGAAACACAAGGATATCTACTCAAAACACATGCAGCTACCGAATATAACATTAATAGTAATATTAATATTGTAGGATAATAAATAAAATGAATGTTGCAGGATAATAAATAAAATTCATTAAATCCTTAGAAATTAAATATATACGATTACATTCCCATATATATATATATATATATATATATATAAGCAAATATATGGATATAGATCCGACAGTATGAAGAAAAATATACTGAAAAAACATTAAAACAGCATAATCGCATATTAGGATTTTTCTTTGTTTTTTCAGTATATTTTTTTCATATATATATATATATATATATATATATATATATATATATATATTAGAAGTTACGGTGGGGTAATAGATAGCGGATAGTTCGAATTTGGTTTAGGTATGAATCCTTTTCTTCTCCCTCCAGCAGGAGAGATTGGGTTCTATAGCCTTGGATGGCAACTGGTCTAGGAGAAGGACAACTCTGAATTCAAAACCTGCGGAGGGTCATTTGAAGACAGGAGAGTCGAGTATATATATATATATATATATATATATATATATATATATATATATATATATATATATGCACACACACACTCTAATAATAAATATACATTATGTTCATCACTGATTTTACAACTTTGAAGCACGCGCCAATCGTCCGCGGCGGATTAAATGTGTTTTATATCGATGCCTGATGATTGACTCGTCCATGAAACTCAGATGTGTGATAAAAGACGAGGAAAAAAGTATATATTTTTAGCTGTTATTTTGCATTGAGAACTTTTTATTACTCCCAGAAACTTACTGTGCGCTATCTATCTATCTATCTATCTATCTATATATATATGTATAAGCTTTTTGAATTTGTAGGTCTGATGAAGTGGATCGTGATTACGATTTCAATGTAATAAATCATAACCATGAAATATTAGTGTTTGAGCCTTATATATATATATATATATATATATATATATATATATAAGATTGGTGTATACGGAATAAATTCCAACAACCAAAAAATACTATTCTTAAAAGAGTGCTCAATACAGAGCAAAGAAAATATAATTTACTCGAAAATTATAACAAAAATATGTTATAAAATCCCAACAAAAATAGCCATTTTGTTTCAACACTTCTGCTGCCTTATCAAGTGATGGTGTTGAATGTAGAATAAAGAAACTAAATAAATAAACTCTTCATTATACATTCAACACTTGATAAGACACAAGAAATGTTGAAACAAAATGGCTATTCTTGTAATGATTTTATAACATTTATGTTATAATTTTCGAATAAATTATATATATACTACACACACACACACACACACACACACACACACACACACACACACACACATATATATATATATATATATATATTGGTGAAGAAATGATATTTTACTGTTTTAATATTTGAATGTGGTTTCTTGGTTCAATGAAGTTTGTTCTAAATCCCTGAGGCACTCTTGTTATTGTATTCTGAAGAATATTTTCTGCACTTGAAAGCATTCTTTATATAAATTCGCTTCTTTTGTTCTGGCCATTTTCATTCTTTTGCACTACGCTCATAGTTATTAACCCGATGCATTTTGTGTGTGTATGGATAAGAACGCTTGGACTGCTACGTTATATTTCAAAATGTCACATCTTATTGTTTGCCATCTGTTTGATAATTGTTAAACGCGTCTCTGTTTCAAAGCCGCCTGGCGGCAACTCACAAAACATCTGTGCAAAAAATCCCCTGTGATCGTGTCTGGGATGCCAAAAGCGCCAGCATTCCTTTTAAACGATGTGACGCAATAGCTGAACTTATTAGTTTTATGCGTATCTGCTTATTTTAGCTTTTAAGCTTGTAAGCGATCATTTTTGTAGCATATGTAGCAATGTTTTTCTGTTTTTTATGTTGATAATTCGTACTTATATAACGTGTTAAGCTTCTAAGGTGCTTTCAGAAGAGCAAAAGTATTCGAGTGACTAGTAAGGAAAATAGATAATTTTATACGCATATAAACAGATGTGAGTTGTGGTGTAATATGTATCGGCTCGGAAGGAGAGCTCGGTGATCCGTGTTCGAATTCTGGTCCGGTTACATTCACGTATGCGTAAATACTTTTGGAAAAACTATGCATCTTTCTCAGCCAATAACAGCCAGAAAGAAAGAAACGACAGGTTACTGCGGTAAAGTCTTCTGCCTCGTCACTCGTGACTCTATAGAGACATAGTCGCCCAAACGTTTATCATGTATGACACTTAACTGACAGATAAAATATATATATATATTGACGAGAATTCACTTACATTTTTTTTTTTTATTATATATATATATATATATATATATATATATATATATATATATATATATATATATAATTAGATGTGCACGCACGTTATTTGATATCTGTTTGTCTTTGATATCAATGCCATTTAATGGTAATATTAGCCGTTTCCTTGTAAGGAATCATTCGGTTTGTGTTAATAGAAATTTATAAAATGAAAACAACTGTCCAGGAAAAAAAATTCTCAAGTTCATTTATTGTTATTGCCCTTTTCAATATTGATGGTGCGTTTCCTTCCTAACCTTTTGTTTGAAGTTGTGTGGAACGTCAACATTTTTATTATGTCATTATTTTCCCTTCGATTTACATGTGGTATAGATTTTAGTTGTTGCTGACGTTTAAAATCTTCAAGTGATGTGGATTCTGTCATCTGGTACCATTCTTTGCTTGAGTTTCTGTAACACCAATTCGCTCGAAGAAGGATGGTCCTCGTTAACACCTACAAGCTTCATTCACTCGAAGAACCTATAACCATTGATCTGAGAAAGCGATTGTATACAGTTGCCAGTAAAGTTTTGAACGAGTTTCGCGCCACGCATGGCATCTATATGAGTCTCCGACGAGATTATTAAAGAACATGACTCAAGATTTGAGGTTAAAGTTCTGGTTTAGTAGCAACTTGCAGTGTTACATGAATCTACTTCTAGAGCAGCAAATTCTATGTCCAATATCCTTATCTCCTATGCTAAATTTTTTAAAACTGGTTTACTCTACGAAGTATTTGAAATGTTTAATATTTATTAAATCAACATCCTGAATTTTTATGATGGATTCAAGATGATTAAATAAGGAACAAGTGGGAAACCTATAAATTTGACATGTTTAGCCATTTATTTAGCTTCATTAAAATTAATAATTCCTCATTCTGAAAATTTATAATTGGTTCAGGTAAGTGCTATTTTAAATGGTAGAGGGAAATTATGAAAAATATTTATGGGGTTTATGCAAATGTTCATAGCGCCATCTTTTGCACAGTGTTAAATGAAATAGTAAAAGAGTCTTTACTATTTATTTATGTCTTTATTGAAATCAGTTGTTTACGATCCTTAAGGAAATTCCAAGCGTAGGCAATTGGATTCCATATGAAGCTAGAGAAGTAAACATCGAAATATGCTTAAACGTTTATCTTTCTGTTCTTGTTTTATATAGTAAAAAATGTAACTTTTGGATAAAATGGACACTTACATCGGAAAATAGTAGGAGGATTTCAAATGAAGGAAAACAATGATTATTTCTTAGAGAATCTATAATTTCTTAGTCGAGACTGAATCTATTATAAAATACGAAGGCATCTCTCTCTATTGCAATTCATAGGGAAAACTTTCTGACAATTTCTAAGAACCTGATCAATTTGTTTTACCATGTAAATGAAGTATTGGAATAGAAAAGAAACTTTTTTTCCCTCGGCAGTAAAACTGCTTTCGCTCAGATCAAACATGATTCGATGAAAATTACAGATCAAAATGCAGGTACTGAAAGTGTGAGACCACGGACCTATTGATCTACCTTGTACATATAAGAAATGTTTACACACACACACACACACACACACACTCTCTCTCTCTCACCCCCCCCACATAAATAAATAAACAGCGTAAGCATAGAAATTTAACACAGCATCGTGACTGACAGTTTGATACCTCAAGTAATCCTTAAATTAAAGCTTGGTCTCACTTTTGGCGTAAAACTGATAGTCATCCAGGTTTCAATGTCTAAACTCTTTATATACATACATTCTCTCTCTAATCTTGAGGGCTTACGGCAATCACATTGAAACACCGGTTTTTATACTATCACCGAAGTTAAGCAACATCGAGCCTGGTCAGTAACTAGATGGATGAAGTGCTTGGGAATACCAGGTTCTCTAAGTTTGGATGTGTGGGTGGTGTAATGGATAATGGCTCAGAATTGGAAATCGGAGAGCCGAGTTCCGATTTCTGTCCGGTTCGTTATATACACTTACGCGCAGATGCCCTTAGGAAAGGTATGAATCCAGCTCTTCTCTCTCTCACCGATGGGTTAATTAATAAGACTTGTATCAGTAAATCAGTATTAACGTCAAATAATTTTTACAATCTAAAAATATTTTCTAGCTTTAAATAACCTGTGTTTTCTGGCTTTAAATAACCCTAATGTTCCCTTCTGAGTATAGTAAGTTGTAAAACATACATATATGTGTGTGTGTATGATTAATTTTAGAGATGGGTGCAGGACAACTCAACACCGCCGACTCAACACTGCCGAGTGAGCATCGGGCAACTCCGGACCGAGAAATTTATTTTTTAATAAAGTAAACTGACATATAAAAAATAATTCAATAAAACACATTTGTTTTTTAATTATTGTTTAAAAAAGTAAATCGAAAAAGAATTAAACATTTTTTGGTTTTAATTATTTTTAATAAAATAAATCGCAGTATAATTTATTTTTTAATAAAGTAAATTGACATTCTAGAAAAATATAAAGAATAATTTAACAATTTACGATTTACTTTATTAAAAATTATTAAAAGCAAAAAAAAAAAAAGGTTCATATTTTACATAATGTCTTTTCAAATGCCTTTTTGAAGAAAAATATTCACTAATTAAGGTTTAATCCTTAATAAAATACTTTTATTCGGTTATAAAAAAAGTTATATTTTTTTCTTGTGATGAGTTGTCTCCGTCTTGAGTTGTCCCGGTGCTGTGTCTACGGTGTTGAGTCAGTGGTGTTGAGTTGTCCCTTCCCGTGTAGAGATAGTAATGTTATACATTCTTGATATCTGTACAGTATTTTATTTCAGGTTTATATTGGCTTAAACCCTGGAAGTTTTCTTTAAGCCGTAAATTATTCAACGTACACACGCACACACACATATATATATTATTTTTTCTAACAATAAATAATTCTCTCAAAGGCACGAACGCCAGAATAACACAGTGCTCAATGCAAAATAAAGAAAATACAAAGCAATAATATATATATATATATATATATATATATATATATATATATATATATATATATATATATATATATATATAATGTAAAGAGAGACAGATAAAAGAATGCATGTTTCAGAATATAAGTACCACAGTTTAGGTTTTGTCTTAAATTTAATTTAATACCTTTATAATTAAGAATAACTCTTCAGTAAAGTTAGAAAAGTATTGTACTGTGTTTTCAAAAAGAAAACTACAGGAACTTCTAGAAAAGATAGTGAAAGAAAGCGAGAAAAAAGGATTAACTACCATGAAGTAAGATTACCCTTTTGTTAGCAAGTAGGACAGCATAAGGTACATATTCGAGATGTTAGAATCAAACAAGGACAGAAATTTAATTCTCTGGGAAGTGTTATAAGACACGATGGAAAATGAGAATCATATATCCAACGGCACATTGGAATAGCGAAATGTAGGTTCTAAAAGTTAATCTAAGTTTTTAAGAAACAGGAAACTTTCGTTAGAAACAAAGACAAAATGCTGTACTGTTATATAATATCAGTCCTTCTGCATAGACAATTTCCTCACAGATGAAGAGGAGACTTCAGGTAAAAGCGATATGGTTCTACAGTGTAATACAGAGACTCACATGAATTGGACACATCAGTAATAAGGAAGTTGTAAAAAAAAAAATTGATAGAAAAACGGGTCATACCTAAAACTAGAAAAATTGAGCTGAAATTCTGGGACGTATAATTAGGGTTTATTTATTTAGTGGCATAGTAACTCTCATAGATGATTTCCTACCGAAATTTAATTTACTTGGGAGCATTAGTAATTTAATTTACAAAAATTTAAAGCGAGTACATTTTTTCTTAAAAAAGGTATTGCTGGCATTTTTACTATGAAAATGTATTTTTTATACTTTCATAGTGTTTTAACCCCAGTTTGGGAATGAACTATTTTCACATAGCTTGGAATCCTAACAGATGCAACTCCGCTGAGTTAGAGTGGACCTGTGAACGGCAGCAATTAAGAGGTGGTTTCACGCGCCTCAAAACCTCTCGATCAGATCCCTTGCTGTCGGATGTAGTTTATTGACATACTCAGAACTGATATAATTACGAAAGATGGCTTGAAGAGTATCACATTAAACGGATCACATTAAACGCAAGATGACTAAAGGCATGCATAGAATAGAGAACTTGTGTAAATGGATAACAGCACAGGGACTGCGAAGGATATCAAGGTGGCAAATATTGCTTCGAGCTACAAAGGATAGGAAGATGAGGAGATCCATGGTTACCCATATCTTAGAAAGGTCAACACACAGAAGCAGAAGAAAATATTTTTGTTTAAATGCAGTAGCTTATTTGATAAAATATGTCTACATGTTTGGATCTTTATCTCTTTCTTTCTGTCTCTCTATACAAATAGAGAATTAGTGTGCATTTGCTGAACATCATATCTTTTCGTCTCTTTTATAAAGAGAGAAAAAGAGAGAATTAGCGTGCCTTTGCTGAACATCATATCTCTTCGTCTCTCTTATAAAGAGAGAAAAAGAGAGAATTAGTGTGCATTTGCTGAACATCATATCTCTTCGTCTCTCTTATAAAGAGAGAAAAAGAGAGAATTAGCGTGCCTTTGCTGAACATCATATCTCTTCGTCTCTCTTATAAAGAGAGAAAAAGAGAGAATTAGTGTGCATTTGCTGAACAGCATATCTTTTCGTCTCTCTTATAAAGAGAGAAACAGAAAAAAATGCGTGAGGTTGAGGAGTATTACTTTAGATATTGATCACTCGACAGGAAATGCCGGATTTTACGCACTAGCAGCTCTGGTGATAGATATAGACAGAAATTCGTAAAGACGAACTTGTTAAGTCCAGACAGGTAACCCTCTACGTATTCACAAGTACGCAGACGTACACATGCTAACTTCTCAGACAGAAACACTCATTTAACACAGACACAAAGTCTTCAGAATTAGCGCTGACCGCAAAGTACTCGTCGATTTAAGACCCACGGCAGCTTCACAAAAGCGGTTTCTCATCTCTGTCAATGAATGCACCAAGATGTCACAATCAGACAATAAATTCAGCCGAGCAGCCAAAATTCTAATTTCACTTGCCACACCCACAGAAGGATAGACAATTTCCTTAAGCTTATTGGTTAGATCTAGACTTTATTCCTTCGACCCCACCCGGATTATGCACTCGGACACGCAAATGAACTGAGGTCTTATAGTCTGTACATAACTTTTGACTGGTGATCACGCACAAAAGAAATGTCACAAAACTCGTGCATTTCTAGAAAAAAAAAAAAAAAAAACGGACCGTGAAGTAAAAAAAAAAAAAAAATTGTGTAGGCAAATAAGCAAAATGTTTTAATTTTCTATTGGACTGATTAAGTTGCCTTTATTTTTTTTACATTTTCCATGCAGTTTTATTTCATAAAAACGATTTCTAATATAAATACATAAATAATATATTCATATATACGGGAAGAAAGATAATTCAGTATTAACGCACAAACTGACACATGTATAAAATGAATGAATAAATTTCCCGATAAGTTTGCGGATATTAGCTAAATATTGATCTGAAATTTTCATTGCATAGTGTTTGATTTATAGAACTAATACAGGAGAATAAGGTTAAGTGTAATGACAATGACGATTATATTTAAAAGTAAAACGTTGTTGTTGTTTATATATATATATATATATATATATATATATATATATATATATATATATATATAATTTAAATAAAAACAGAACACTTTAAGGTTCCATGTAATAAATTATTTCACCACAGCCCTTTTAAATGACTGCGGTTCATCAGACTTTACTTCCAAACCTACGGATTACCTAGTTTTTCATAAACTAAAAATATATATATATATATATATATATATATATATATATATATATATATATATATATATATATATTAAGACGGACTTCACTTCACGCTAGAAGTACCATCGACGGCTTCGAATAGATCCTCTACCCAATTTCACTCACAATGCTTTGATTAATGGTTTTCAGGTACTCTTAAAAAATGTTGCACGCTGGGATCGCCTCTCTCCAGATCGATAATATCAAGAAATTAGGAATTAGAACCCGGGTATCATTGCCAACAGAAACAGAACGTTGCGATAAATGGATAGATAGATAATGAACAGATTGCGATAGATAGATAGTTAGCTAGCTAGCTAGATAGATAGATAATGAACGAATTGAGATAGATAGACGAAATCAGTCAATAAATGGCAGATTAAAGTAAAGGCAATCTTTTACTCAACCGTGATATCGAGCGTCAGCGCCTCTCTTGCTTTTACAACGTAATTTCAAAATCGCCTTTATTTCTGATTTACCCTCGTATATATATATATATATATATATATATATATATATATATATATATATATATATATATATATATATATATTGACAGAGACCAATGTAAACATATACTAACAAAACATGTTTATGTTTCTTATTCTTGTCACCTGACGATCGAGTTGGGAGAAATTCAGAGTAGCTATTTCAACTGAGTATTTTTTTGTGCGTTGTCTTTGGTAAGGGTTACTACTCTGTCTATGGTTATCGATTTCTTTTTTTTAATTTCCTTTCGTCGTTTCAAGTTTTTGTTTTGTTCGGGCAACTTTTGTGTTGACGGTACCACCTTTGCATTTTCTACCAATACTTTGGCTTGTCATGTACATACATACAAACATGCATATAGACACACACGCACAAACACACACACGCACATATATGCGTATGATAAAAATATAGTTTTAAGGTATGCTAAATTTATGAGTTAAAGTGCTGTATACCTGGGATATAGCCTATATAAATATATAAGTGGACATTGTGGCGACAGTATGCTTAATCCTGCTGTTTTAAGCATAAAACAAACTGTCTTCGCTGGAGAGTGAACTGAATATACACTTTTGTATATATATATATATATATATATATATATATATATATATATATATATATATATATATTGCGTATTTTGTAGCAATGCTGCTTTTATATAAGCTTCGCTAAAAAACGACTGACAAAGTACTGCGGTTAAGTTTTATATTTAATTTTCATGTGTTCTTATAATTGCTGATCGTGTTTGGAAAATAAAACATTTCTATAATTCTAGAAACATACATAAACGAATCCATACATTCAGTTAAAATGGTTAA